ATTTAGGTATATAAAAGTTCACAAGTGAAATGATGATAATAAGGAAATGAGGGTATTTTTTAAAATATATTTTATTGATTTTTTACAGAGAGGAAGAGAGAGGGATAGAGAGTTAGAAACTTCAATGAGAGAGAATCATTGATCAGCTGCCTCTTGCACACCCCCTACTGGGGATGTGCCCACAACCAAGGTACATGCCCTTGACCGGAATTGAACCCAGGACCTTTCAGACCGACGCTCTATCCACTGAGCCAAACAGGTTTTGGCAAAATGAGGGCATTTTTATATGGGTGTGAGGGAGGCCTGTTTGAAGAGATAGCATTTAGGTCAGCCTTTCTTACTGAGAAGGAATCAGGCCAGGCATTGGGAAGTTTCTTTAGACAGAGACAAGAGTATAGATTCTGAAACAGAATCCAGCTGGGCATGAAAGCAAGAACAGAAAAAAGGAAGATTTGGGGAGAATCTGCATGAGACAAGGTCAAAGAACAGATCGTAAAGTATGAGCCTAGTAATGAATCAAAAATAATGAAATGGAATGGATATTTCTGATGCTCATCAATGAAGATATGTTGATGGGGATTTGAGATATTTTGGACATGGGGGTATAATGAAAGAGAAGTATATAGGGTGTCCCAAAAAATGTACACAGGCACTGTGAATCATTATAAACACAGTGTTTATTAAAATGCATTTTATTTTCAAAATTGAGGTATCAGCTGTTAAAGTATGTATACATTTTGGGGAACACCCTGTATATGATAAACACTTTCAGAGAGAGTGACTAGAACACATGTGTCAAACACAAGGCCCGCGGGCCAAATCCGTCCCTCCAGGCCTTGCAATGTGGCCCGCACCGCGCTGTCATCACTGCACTCCGCTGCGTTTCCATCACAATGACAGTTTATGACTGTTCAGTAAACCATTCGGCCCGCGATTTAGGTTGGATTTTAGATTTTGGCCCCTTCTCTGATTGAGTTCGACACCCCTAGACTAGAAGAATGATGATGTAATGATGGTATAATTGTCAGAAATAAGGAAATACGTAATTGGGGGGAGTCTAAGTGAAAAGACACTGAATTGTACATAATGAAGGATTGGAAAAGTTTTGGTTAGTGTTTTGTAATTTAAAGGGAACGAAAACAATGGATTATTTATTGGCAAGTTGTTCCATCTTAGAGAAGCTGATTGAAATGAGGAAATAGAACAGTTATCAAATGGATACAAATAAAACATGAGATCAGAGAAGGACAGAGGATTGTGCCTTAGAGGAAATGAGAGATCTATAGAAGATTCCAGGAAAGAACCCAGGACAGTATAATGGTTTGTACTACACAAGTATGCACGTGTGCGTGCGCACACGCACACACACACACACACACACACACGACAGTTAAGTAGGCCAGTCCATTTATGTCAAATGCTGCCACAAGTTTAAAAACAATGGATGCTGCTTTTCAGAGTCAGTATCATGAGAGGCATGATGTAGGTAGGTGCAATACATGGAGAAAGCTAGTGGTGAAGGGGAAATTGGCAAAAGGCTCAGTTAAAATAAGCAGAGCAGCACAGAGTCCTTTAAGAGTTATTGGTTGTGACAGGTTGCTGAGGCTAGATTCTCAGTAAAACCTATTCTTTAGGTTTTATCATTCCCATGTAGTGAAGATGGCTTTGGTTTGAGGGCTCTTCCTGGCTCCTCACTGGAGAACTTCTTGAGTTAATGACTGTAGCATTTTGTCTGCCAGGGCCTGGTCCTTCCAAGTCAAGGGAAGCATTTATGAAAGACATATGGAGCTCCTTTTGTCATCCAACTATGTCACTCTGAAGCTTCTGAGTGATTAATTTACCTTACATAGCTGACAAAATGCCTCAGGGAGCCTCGTAATGTATCATTAACATTCCTATTTGAGGTACAAACTCTCACTATAACACTAAGGCCATTTTGCCACATTATCACCAATTATATAAATGACCACACATGAGTAATCATATATGATGAGTCAGTCACATTGCAACTTTGGACATGGCCAAATTGACCAAGGCCTGGGAGAGCTTAGCCTGGTAGGCCATGGCAGGACCTACCTCTGGCTCAAAAACATGCTTGTTGGAATGGCCTTGACTGCCAACATGGTTGTGGTTGTGTCTGCCATGCCCTATTGTATTGGCAAAGTTGAATACTGCTTTTGTTTTGTATTGTCAAAGGGGAAGTCAGAGAGTACAGTGTAAATCACTTTTATATCAGCATCATATGATCCTAGGCCACATGAAAACATATAACAGTTTGTTTTGTAGCTCAAGGAAAGGTAGAGGTGAGTAATTAAGAGATAGATTTTTTTTTAAGGGGAGAGGGTCAAGGTAGTCCAGCTCTCTCTAAATAGAAATCCTTGTAAAAACATTGGTCATTGTTATCTGAAACATATAAGAACCCCTGAACTAATAATTTGAGAAATGGAATTTGTTCTTTCCATTAAAAAATATGTTAAACAAATTTTACAAATTATCATTTCACTTTAACTTTGAGTGCTACATAGAACTGAATATTTTTCTAATAATTGAAAACTCTCTCACTTTACTCTTAAAAATATTGATGGCTCTGGTCAGTGTAGCTTAGTTTGTTGAGCATCATCCCATGCTCAAGAGGTTGCTGGTTGGATTCCCAGTCAAGACACATGCCTCGGCTATTGGCTTAATCCCTAGCAAGGGATGTGCAGGAGACAGCCAATCAATGGTTCTCTCTCATCAATGTTTCTCTCTCTCTTTCTCTCCCTTTCTCACTCTCTCTAAAATTGATAAAAACATATTTAAAATATGTGGATGTAAAATGACCTTAAAGTCATGAAGTGACCTTAAATATAATTTAGTTCAGAGAAGGAGCTGATTTATTTACTAAGGCCCCCTCCTCTCTCTCACATATATGACCTTTATTCCATCAAGTAATAATGAAAATGAACAAAATAAAGATACATTATAGGTTGGTATAATATTCTTCTGGATGTCATTACTTTTTTTGTGATTGCAGGTGAAGACTGATGATAGAGTGGTTAAGATGGACCTCGGTTTACTCTTCCTAAGGGTGCGCAGAATGGATGCTGGTACATATTTTTGCCAGACAGTAGAGCATAGTTTTGTCCATACTGTCCGTAAAATCACCCTGGAGGTAGTAGAAGAGGAGCGAGTGGAGGAAATGTTTAACAAAGACTACGAAGAGGACAGGCCTCACAAGATGCCTTGTCCCGCTCACAGTAGTATCCCGCACGGAGGAAAGCCATGGTATAAGGAATTCTTGCAGCTGATTGGTTATAGCAACTTCCAGAGAGTGGAAGAATATTGTGAAAAGGTATGGTGCACAGATAAGAAGAGAAAAAAGCATAAAATGTCACCTTCCAAGTGGAAGTATGCCAACCCACAGGAAAAGAAGCTCCGTCCCAAAGCAGAGCACTATCGCCTGCCCAGGCACACGCTGGACTCCCGATGAGGTGAAACAATCCGCTGGATTCTGAGGAATTTATATTTGAAACCTAAAAGCAAAAAAAAAAAAAGAGAGAAATCATCCAACTTATTTGCATTACTTTAAAAAGATATTTCTGTAATACAGAAATGACTTAGAGGTGTTATGATAAATTATTCTACATACTCATTTGACTGGTTAAACATCAAATAAGTTAACTAATTTTTTTAAAAAATAAGTGTATGTTTCAATGGTTTCACATTATATTTATCAAAAAGTGACGATAGTTGTAGTTTTGAGTACCTGACTGCTTTTCCAATAATTACTTACAATTATTACTTTACTCTTGCTAGATGTAAGATAATGAGGATATTGATGATAATTTTCAGATTTAAATAACCATGGGAAAATAAAAATAAATGTTTCAATCTTTCTGAATTTTGCCTTTCCTCCACACATAGTATCAGGTACTTTAATATTTCCATGTGAACTGTCTGTACTTAAAAAAAAAAAAAATGATTGTATTAGTGTTGTCAAAGCCATGAGTTTGATGAAGCAGGTGTGTTGTAATTATTGTAAACCAAGAAAAATGGTGGTCCCCTTGACAATTGTACCCTTCATAAAACACTCATTGAACCATGGAGTGAAGAGAAGAATGAAGTGAAGGTAACTTCTCAGAAAGATCTCAAAGGATGTCAAAACAGATGGATTACAGTTAGAACTCTAATTGAAAAATGTTGCTGCCCTCTTCTGGTAGTAAAGTATATTCCTCTACAATTTGTCTTGTAAAGATTTGAAAGCAGGTAGTATATCTAATCCATTTTCAGAAAATAGCTAACTGAAGTAATAATGTGCTAATGCTTATGTCATGCTTTAAGATGTTAATAACTTATTACCTCACAAACCAAAAATGATATTATAGCACTGAAGCTCTATAAAAACTTAAATTTTATGTCTTCTAAGTAATCTTTCCTGAAATATAAAATATATTCCAGAAACATAATCTTTCTTTCTAAAAAAAAATATTAAAGCATTTTGCTCTGAGGTGTTAAATTTTCCTCTATTTTATATTAACAAATGGAAAATTATTTCATGAGTTCACCTAACTCCCAAGATGTTCAGAGCACTTTTACTTTTCTAAATAGTATCAGGAGAGATTTTATTTTTGAAAATGTTTATTTCCTGAAGTTTTTTTCTTCTATCTTATTTAGTAATTATCTTTTTAAAATATAATTTTTAAGATTTTTCATTTAAATAAGAAAAGCAAGTGGATTACATATAAAAACAAGTATGAATATTTAAAGGTTAATTTTGAATATTAATTTTACTTTTCAAAATTAGCTTAGAGGATATATAAATAAGAAAATCCAAGTATTAATAATTTGTAATGTCTTTCCATTTTATTCTAAAATTACCAAATACATAAATGTTTCAAAAAAGTTTAAAGAGTTCATTCAGCTGAAACCAGTTTGGCTCAGTGGATAGAGCATCAGCCTGCGGACTGAAAGGTCCTGGGTTCGATTCTAGTCAAGGGCTCATACCCTGGTTGTGGACACATCCCCAGTAGGGGGTGTGCAAGAGGCAGCTGATCAATGTTTCTAACTCTCTATCCCTCTCTCTTCCTCTCTGTAAAAAATCAATAAAATATATTTTTTTAAAAATTCATTTAGTAAGCTGCCCAGCTACAAAAGGTCTAAAAGATACAAATATATTAAAAATAAACATTCTCTGAAAAACTCAGTTGCTATGTACATAAGAATCCACTAGAGGTCACTGCTGCCCATCAATATTAACTGAAAACAGAACATACTGAAAGTTACATAAAAAAAGATGTATTTCAGTAAAGCTGCCAGATGTAGAAAAATAGAACCATAACCACAGATTACAAGACCCTCAGTAAAGGTTATGTTCAGAACACTCAAAGTGAACAGATAAGTCAATAAACACAATTTATTAAGCACATTCTCCCATTTAACACAAGAGAAGGCAAAGCAGTATTTGTTCTCCTGTATTTGAAATTTAAGAAAAAAAATATGGCAGAAAAGGCATAAGTAATTATCATTTTCATCTCAACACATACAACCAGTTAATTATAATGAGAATGATAATATCACTTATGAACTAAAATATTTGACAACTGGAGAACTAAAACTGAGGAAAATAACTTTCCTATGACACATCTTAAGAATTGAATGGACCTACATGCTTTTAAACTAAAGCTATTAGCCAGAAACATATATATTTTATGTAAAATGCTAAACTTTACTCTCGAAAAATAAATACAAGCCAAATAAGCTTTGGAAGGCTCAAATACACAATTCAGTGAGAGCACTGAATTCCATATATATGTATATATGTGTGCTTTCTGTTTCAATTTTCTCTCTGCACCCTCCCTCCACTCCCCCCCACACACACACACTTCCATCCCCCCCCCCCACACACACACACATTTGCACGCACGCACACACATCATGGCATACTTTAAGAAAAATGCATTGCCCTCTCAAAGGACAAGCCAACCATGTATGTTCCTCTGTCCTGGAGAATCTGAAATGCACCACAAAAACATATTCCAGGTCTTTTTTTTTTTTTTCTGGGATTCAAATTCAAATTCAGAATCTTGTTTCAGAAATGTCCAGGTTTGGAAAATCACAAGTGAATTGTAGAAAAATAGAACCATAACCGCAGATTACAAGACCCTTAGCAAAGGTTATGTCCAAAAACACTCTTTCTTGAACTTGGGAAAGGCATGCCTCACCACCTGGAAGAATTCAGATTTTGCCCCAACCCTACCACATTTTTTCTCCAGACATAAACTCAGAGAGGAGAAAGACTCCCTCTGGGAAAACACAGCTGAGAAAGAATCATAACCACCAACCCTCATTTCAAAGGGGGCACCTCCATGCAGGGACTGTCTCTGCTTCTTCAGACCCACTCTACGTCGTTCTCGGTTGAGAGGGTACCTGCGGATGGATGAGTCTTAATATCACAGTGGACACCTACATCACCCATTGAGCTCCAGATGCAGCAGGTTTGTTAGCAAGGAGGATTTCAACCGGAAGGTATTTTACCTCAGGATTCGCCACCCCTCTTCCATGCCTACCATTGTTAGGTTGCTAATTTTTCTTTTGTGTTTATTACTGACTATTCCAGCACAAGGCTATCAACTTGGTGAAACAGGGATTAAAAATAGAAATAGACCCTAAGGAGGGCTCTGGAAAAAAAGAGAACAGAAAGACTTTGCCTATTTAGTAAGTGACAATTCCATATACTATGTTGGAGAGTTTTTTCTTCTCCATATTAGTTAAGTACTTATGATGTTTTTATTGTGCTTAATGTTTGCTAGAGGGTGTAGGGTTTTGTAAATCTTCATAGTGGTTATGAACATTTGTAAATTTGTACAATACAACAAATCGTGTTTGAGTGTTGGTGTTTCGCATGAAACAGATACAGCAGCCATTGTCCTTAAAAATGAATTGTGTTTAGCCTGATAAAGAAAATGACTTGGCATTGGGTAGGTCTCTGAGGTCATGAAGAAGGGCTGCAGCGATGATGCAGTGGGAAGTGAGTATCACATTGAGATGATTTTTCAAAACCATTGCTCGTTTTTAAGGACAGCACTGTTGCATCTAAATCAGATATAAATACTCTATTTCCACGAACACTCTTTTGAATGTAGTGTGTGTTATTTAAGCTGGCATGTTTATTTTATTTTTCTGGGAAGATAGCATTATATTTTGGCTCTCGTTGTAAACCGAATGTATTCTGTTTGTCTAAATGGCTTAGTTATAAGCTAGAGTACTATATCGGCATATTCTTGTCTTTATGGCTTCCTTCTATGTGCTTGCCTGAGTCCATCAACAGCATGTGCCACATTATTTCTAAGCCAAGAGACTTATCATCTGGTGGCAAATGCTGCGAAGACCATTGACTATCACATGGATTTGCCACTGTGCACTGCATAATTCACCTGTACCGTTATGTACAATGTCCATTTATTTAGTTTAACATAGATGATAAATAAATATTTGCTAAATCCTTATCTGCTTTTTGGGGAGTGGTGTTTTTTTTTGTTATTGTTTTTTTAAAGTTTTTGCCAGTTGAATTGAAGTTTCACAACATGTCAACCCTAAATGTAACCATACAATGCTAGAGCAGCACCAGGAAACGATTTCGTTCTCTTTCCTTGGAAATACCTAAGTCAACTTTCTTAAGGACGAGCAAGGCCATTCATCTCATTACCTTGCAGCAGTTGGGTTTATGTGTAGGCATGCATCAGTGTTCCTAGGACCAGCAACGGGGAAATTCCTTTCTACACTGCATTCTCCAGGTAAGAAAGAGTGAAAGTGAGTGCTTTCCGAGAATGGTACCCAGCTGGCTGTCTGCGAGTTTGGCAAGCCTCAACTTCTTTCTCAAAGGTAGCTTCATTGCTGTTTTCTCTGCTGTTTTTATAAGAGCTTGGAGAGGTCACTTAAGTGAGATTCAGTGTTAAATGGTTCTCACTTTGGGGAGTTCTGTCTTCAAGTAACATGGTGGTAGGAAATCACCTACAATGCTTGGAAGGAAGACGAGGCTCCAGCATAGCATTCTGACAGCTTGCTGATATGATAATGCCGTTAATGGTAGCTGTTTATTCTTGTGTTACGCCTGCATTCATTCATACATAATATAAGGCCTTACTTTTAGAGTAATATTCCTTGAACCCATTAAAACTGTTCTGTAGATACATATTTACTAGTCAAGGAAAAGTAGAGAAATGGTTGTGGTGGCTAGAAATCTCTTACTGTTACTCAAAGAGATCCAAAGTGCCAGCCGGTGTGGTTCAGTGGTTGAGCATTGACCCCTAAGGGGGGAGGTCACAGCTCCATTCCCATCAGGTGCATGCCAGCAGTGTGGGGGCATGTAGGAAGTAGCCAATCCACGTTAATGTTTCTCTCTCATAGATGTTTCTCTCTCTCCCTCTCTCTCTAAAATCAATAAAAACATACTTTAATAAAATATGCACCTATCTTTTTATTCAAAAACCATATAGTAGGCACTAGACCCAGTGCTTTATAACGTGTAGAAATGTTAATGATGCCATTAAGTAGAGGGGTAAATTAATATTGAATTATATTTGTTAAGAGAATTTGCTGACAGTTTCCCCTGGAAAATTTTTCAAAACCTTAGTTTTTTTTTTTACTTTATGCGGCATGAAACACAAGAGTGTGGCTTTTAAAATGTTTTTCAACTATTTGGAATGTTGTAGAAGGTACTTCTAATTACGAATCTCGAGACTGCTTGTCAGGATGACATCAAAAAGCCATGCTTTGATTCAAAGGAGCGGCAATGATGCAGCAATGATAGATGGTATACAGAAAAAGAAAATAATTTAAGACTAAGAAACAAACAAGACACAGTAAGAAGGCGGCTGTCTGCAAGACAGGAAAAGGGGTCTCACCAGGAGAACAATACTTTGATCTTGGACTTCCCAGCCTCCTGAACTGTGAAAATAAATGTTTGTTGTTTAAGTCACCCAGTCTATGGTATTTTCTCATAGTGTGGGCAAACGATTACACAAAGAAAAGAACAGAGAAAGGCAGAGAGATGAAGCATAATCAGAAAAAAACAAATAAGCCTACAGGTATTCCAAAACATCTGAAGTTATTTAAAGTTAAGTAAGTAGTGATATCTGGAAAAAGCACTGAAAAGTGGCCTCTCAGCTAGGACTGCTGGCTTACATAAATTAGGCTGGACATTCACAAAAGTTTCTCAATCATAGGTGATTTCTTTTCTGTGGATCAGAATAAGTTTCTAAGAGAGGAGAAAATGGAATTATAAACTCAGTTTTCAAACAAGCACAGCAACAGCAGAAACAAACAAAATAACTAGTGATGAACTGGATGATCCCTTGCAGATTATCCCATCAATTCAATCTGGTTGAACAAAAAAATGGTTTAAAGATTTTCTTATTTTACATGATTTTCATAAGTCAGAAGTCAGGATATAAAATGTCTCAGCTAGATTCTCTGCTTAGGATCTCAAGAAACATCAACCACCAGCTGCCTGAGACCTGGGGAAGAATCAAGTTATTCAGGTAATTGGGAGAATTCTGTTCCTTTTGTTTCTAGGACTGAGATCCCGACCCCTCTCTCAGCATAATTATTTTCAGACTAGAGGCCCAGGGCACAAATTCATGCATGGGTGGGGTCCCTCGGCCTGACAGCATTTGAGCGAATAGGGCCAGCCAGCCTAGAGGAGGGATGGTGGGAGGTTGGCTGGCCACAGGGGGTTGACTGTGGGAGCACAGTGACCACCAGGGAGCAGCTTCTGCTTTGAGCATCAGTTCAGTCAACTAGTCATAATAGTCGTTTATATATATATATATTCCAAGTGGTTGAATGTACCAGTACTTTGTTCTTTTCTATTACTGAGTACCATTCCACTAAAATGGGTATGCACAAATTTGATGAACATTTTAGTTGTTTTATTTTATTTAATTGTTTCAAAATAAAAGTGGAGATAAATTCTTTCTCATGCATTTTTTCCTATATTTGTTTTTTCAGGAAAAGGGGTCAGCTTTTAAAATGTTTTATCTAACCATCTTCATGCCTGTTGTCAGTTCCATCAGCCACTTCTGGAGTTTCTCCATGCCAATGCCTCCTTTCTGCCCTATGTGGTCTTAACTTTCAAAGCAGAACTCAGACTAATTAATATAGAAGTCCTTCAGGGATATATCAATTTAAAAACTCCTGTGGGCTCTCACAGTAATCCGATTGCTGTTTACATTATTTCCTTAGAGCTACTACATTTTTTAGTTAATCAAACTAGTTTTCAAAAAATGAACCCTGTTGTTTCTTTGGGAAGCATTTCTGTGTAATCATAAATGTCACCTAGATTCTCAAAGATTTAATTGTATACAAAATACTCTTAGTGCTAATATGTTTTATTGGAACATCATCTTCTAAATTTCAAAATACTATTTGATTATCATGTTCTTTATTAACCGTCTGTTATAATAATAAGAATAATATGTCAAATATAAGCTAGTCCCCAAATATGCATAAATAGATATTAACTATATCACTTTTACTCTATTAGAAGTGATGTTGCAGATATATTCTTGGTAGCAATCTGAAAATTAGCTTGGATTTTATTTTTAAATGTGAGAATGTGTCATTTTTTTTCAACTAATTAATTCCATTTAAAGAAGGCATACATTGGAACACTGTGAATTTCTTTATTTTGGTTTGTTAGGTTTATATGTAGACCAGTCATCAAAGCATTTCTAAACAGTAGACTTTAAAACTGTATTCATTTTACCACATTTTGATATGGGTCAGAATAGAAAATATACTACAAAATGTTTTCAGAAAATTTGAAGAGAAAGACGGAGACACTTTATTAAGATTACTATTTTGTATGTGTTTATGGTCTACTATGTTTGAGGCAAGTGGTAGATGGTGTATTCAGTACAGTGCAAGGTTCTCTGTTCAGTATTATACAAAAAAAATCACATCTGCATGAAGGGACTGCTTAGTATGTATAGATATATTTTATAATTGATCTAGCCTTTAAAACTTTCTTAATACCCTCAACTCCTGGCATGTTATAAAATGGAACTATAAATTCACTTATTTTACAACTGGAACAGGCAGAGAAGCTGTTGTTTCTTTGCTGTCTTTATCAACGCCCAGGCCCTTTTCACACACTCTCAGAAGATAGTGTCAGGAAAAATACATTAGCACTTTTGATTTCATTTTTCTCTAATGGAATGATTCTGATAATTCTTTCTTGGTTGTCAAAAGTTCTTTTGGAACACTAATGCTCAGTGTTCCCATGTGCTGTCTCCCACCCAAGATCTCTAAGGAGTCAAGTGCCCAAGGGTATACAGTAAGGAAGAACTATGTGATCTTTTGTCATTGTGAATGATTGTATCTTCATATTCAAGCCATGCTTTAGGTGTTTGGGGGCTCCTAGAATCTTCATTTGAATTATAATGGCATAAAAGCATTTATTTTCTCTCAAGGTCTTGATGATTCGAACTCACCTCCACAGTTTCTAGTGCAAAGTGACACTGGATCTGGCTATGACACTCATGAAATACTCAGCCCAGATAGTCCACCTGTGCACCACTTCACCTCTTCTGGTAAGTCCAGTGGCCAACAACCTTGACTACTTATCACTTCCATCCCAAAGGAGCATAAGAGCTTCTGGTAATTTAGTCAATGATGGAGACTCATCTGAACTTTGTGAATTAATTTCCAGGACACTGTCCCCCTACTCTCCCACTTAGCTGCCATAGGTGAGGAGGAAACAGGTCTTGCAGAATTTGTTTTATATATATATATATATATATATATATATATATATATATATATACACACACACACACACACACACACACACACACACACACACCCTGTATTTTTCGGACCATAAGACGCTCCGGACCATAAGACGCACCAGTTTTTAGAGAAGGGAAATGAAGAAAAAAAGATTCTGAAACAAATAGTGTCCTAAAATATTTTATGTGCATTAAAACCAACATCACAGTCATAAACACATGTAATCAACCCTGTAAAGTAAACAGCAGCATTTAGAACCATTTTAGAGCCGGGCAAGCACACAGAGACCACACAGAGCAGGGCAAGTAAAAAAACTTTTTTTAAAAAGTATATGTGTAGGCTATATTTGGACCATAAGAGGCAGGGACTTTTTCCCCCCACTTCTGGGGGGAAAAAAGTGCGTCTTATGGTCCGAAAAATACGTGTGTGTGTGTGTGTGTGTGTGTGTGTGTGTGTGTGTATATATATATATATATATATATATATATATATATATATATAAATGCAGAGGTCATGGAACTGTGAACAATGCACTGCCGTGGGGGTGGATGGTTGTTATGCTGGTGCCAGGATAGATCATCAAATATGGCCTGGGGGCCTTCCAGTAAGCACAGGAAAGGGTGTGGAACCATATCTGCAAGACAAAGACCCCAGAAGGTTATAAAAAGTGAAGCCCGCTTCGTGTTTCTTCACTCTGATTTGAAAATTATTCCCG